GAGAGACAAGAGAGAGACAGAGAGTGCCATGGTTGGAGCTGGTTGTCTTATTTCTATTGCCAGCTCTTCCTCTTCCTCCACACTCAGTTTTGTGGGTTTGGAATGGCATCTTCCTGTTCTGATTCTTGTCCTTCACCAGGTCACAAGCAGGCAGCCCAAGGTGGATGGGCACCTTACCCAGAAGCCTTAAAATGTTTATTTTTCTACGTGTTAGGTGGGAATATGCTTAGAGTTAGTTTCCAGAGTTTGCTGGTTGTTTTAATTTTGTGAAACATTTTATATGTGCTTACCCTTTGACCTAGTAATTCTAATTTTAGGCAGCCCCTGAATATGTGTGTGTGTGTGTGTGTGTGTGTTGTATGGGCAGGAGCACACAGTGTAGCAGTAATTGTAGTGACATTTGCATCCCTGGCAGATCTTCCCAAACTAGTAATTTTCCTTGGACTTTTTAAATTGCTGTCAGTGTGAGAGGGACATAGGCAGGCTGCCTCTGTCATTGACTGGAAGGGCACTTGGAGGGTCACTGCACTGGGGACTGGGGCTCTGCTCTGAAGACTTACATTGCTGTGGGCTGTGCCCACCCTTTGGCGGGGAAAGGGCAGGGCACAGCATCCTTCAGAAGATGGCGGTAGTCCCCATTGTTACCTGCTTTCTGTTCCAGGTAGCCTGTGCTGATGGGAACCTCTATACACTGACAGTGCCTCAGCTGCAAGTGGTCTCCAAAGTGGCCACATTTCCTCGTACCTCTGTGAGCCTCACATGCTCACCTGACCAACAGTGGGTGTCTGTGTTGGCACAAGGGTCAGACGTAGGCCCAAAGGTCAGTGCCTGGGGAACCTTGTCCCTGGGAAGCCTAACGCAGTGGAAGGTTGCTGTGGAGCATCAGTCTAAGAGGTGTCACAGCTGTTTCTGCTGTGGAACATTTGTTTAGTGATGCAGAGATGGGTTTTATTCTTTTATGTTGCATTTGTCTAACTCTGTGGAGCTGTGTTACTTTGCCTGTCTAAAACACCTGATTGGTCTGATAAAGAGCTGAATGGCCAATAGCGAGGCAAGAGAGAGGATAGGCGGGGATGGCAGATAGAGAATAAAAAGGAGGAGACAGATGGGAAGAAAGGAGATCGGGGAGCCAGAAAAGAAGAGGCCAGCCACCCAGCCAGACATGGAATAAGAAGGAAAGAAAAGATACGCAGAAATAGAGAAAGATAGAATCCCAGAGGCAAAAGGTAGATGGGATAATTTAAGTTAAGAAAAGCTGGCAAGAAACAAGCCAAGCTAAGGCTGGGCATTCATAAGTAAGAATAAGCCTCCGTATGATTTATTTGGGAGCTGGGTGGCAGGCCCCCCAAAAAGAGTAAAATAATAATAAAAAAAACCCACATCCACAGGATTTGCCTGGACCCTGAGACTGTAAGCTGGGGTCTCAGAGCATCACTACAGGGCCAAGCTCTGCAGCCAGGCAGGAGTGTGCCTCTCTCTTACTGGAAGCTTTACCCCTGCCAGTCTCCGCTCTTTGCTGCCTGCTGTGCTATGATCTGGAAGGGCCAGCTCTCAGCTGGGGAGGGAAAAGTCAGTTCTGAACAAGTTTGGGCTTGGGCATCTCCACCAGGATGCTCCTAAGGAGCCAACTTGCGTGCTGAGGATGGTGTGAAGTGATACCCAGCACAGGAGAGGAGAGCATACCGTGTGTGTGTGGGGGGGGGTCAGTTTTGCTCTCCCTCCAGCACCGTGGTCAAGAGGAATGTCTTGCAAGTCACAAAGTCCTGACTATGACCTGGTTCATAGGCACACAGATGTCTAGTCGTTTGCCAGAGGTGTCACCCTTATTGAATGCCAGGACCTAAACTGAAAGTTATATCACAGAAATAAGAGCTCGTGGGGGGCACAGCAAAAGACCTGGTAGCCAGGGAAGCAAGTCATTAGAGAACAGCAGTTAGGTACAGAGGTCATGCGATGCTGCACACCACAGCCTAGAAAGGAGATGTTAAAATGACTTGGACTGCCCTGCCTAGTGTAGACGGTGTGGGTTTGTGGGCAGCCAGCTGCCGAAGACAGTCCTACCAGAGGCTGAAGTCAGCTTGGGGCTGGAGGGCTTTAGGAGTTAAGGGATCCCTCGACACTCTGTGACCATATGGGGTGTTTCCCCAGGTGTTCTTCACTCAGCCCTTGCTTCACCCATTAGAAGACGAACTTCCTGTCTCCACCACCCTCCCTGTCAGGCTGAGTTCCAGAGCCTGCTGGGCTCCCGATGAGGCCTCCAGGCTGATGGTGATGCACAGAGATGACAGTGGCGTGCACCTGGTCATCACTACCTTCAGTTTAAAGGCCAACAAGTCCAGGGACAGAGTGAGCATCCTGGGTAAGGTCCCTGTGCTGGCCACAGCCTGCAGTTTGGTGCTTCAGGACAGGCTCCTCACAGTTCCTCTAGGACGTTTTTCTCTTCCCTTTCAGGGAAATAGGAGCCAAGTGTCCTAAACACTTGACTGTGTGATTTCATGCACTGAGTGGTGGCATGTTGCTTCCTGTGTGGTCCTGGGCTTCAGGTGTAAATTCCATACCCATGGTTCCCCTCCTGTGTGGGTGGCAGCACCCCAGCATTTTGCTGCTGCTGGGCGGGGATTTAGGGTCTGAATAATGGGCCCAGGAGCAGAGCTCTCCTGACTGCACCGCACTACACCACTGGGTGAGGCACCTGCCCGTGCCTGAGAAAGCAACCTGTGTGTTTTTATTCTCCCAAGCACAACAGCTGGCCAGCTTCCCCCTGCCGGGCACTGTGACTCCTCACCTCATGCAGGGCCACGGCTCCCAAGTGATCTTGCTGGCCTCCAGGTCAGAGCTGGTGCTCTTCACCATCCAAGGCCTGCAGCTGGTGGCCTTCCGGGACCACCAGAGGCCCATCACGTCCATGTGGGTGGTGAGTGCAGCACCTCTCACCCGAGACATGCCTCCCACCCTGGGGAATCCACAGCCATACCTCATTTGACTTCATTTCAAGGACCCGAACCGTGTCGTCACCTCTTCCTTGGACCTGTCCTTGCGCGTCTATGTGTGGGATAAGAAGAAGACATGCCCTGTCCTCAGGAGCTGTTACCAGCTGCTCGGGGGGTCTCACAGATGGGCCAGGTAATTGTCTGTTCTCCTGCCCTGTGTCTGTAAAGTGGAAAAGCAGCTGGTTTTCTTTCTTCTGGAATGAGTCTTGTCATGTTGCCCAGGCTGGCCTTGAACTCCTATCATCAAGTGGTCCTCCCACCTAATTCTCCTGAATAGCCGAGACCAGATGTGCACACCACATCTGCTCCAGGGAATGATTCTAAAGGAGATGTTGGAGAGAGTACAAGTCAGTCCAGCCTCATTAACTGGGTCTCAGGATGAGCCACTGTCAACATCGTGTTTCTTTTTCTGCTAACAAAACTCAAAGCCACAATCCAGATTTCCAGCTCCCACTGCGCGCTCTATGTTGTCTCTTACATTGCACAAGGCCAGCCTGTGTTGGCATTACCCACACTCTGCAAATGAAATAGCTGAGACATTTAGATGTTTCGTGCATAGTCCACAGAGACATGTGGCCAAACCCAGGTTAGACCTTGAAAAGGCCTTGTCAGTTCTGGGAGCTCCTGTGGGCACACCACCTTTGACTACCACTGGGTTCCTTGCAAATTCTGGTAGAGATGCACTTGGTATAATGAAGTCACATCTGGGCCATTTCCCCGGATGTTTCTCACCACACTAGAATCGTTGTGATGCAGGCAGCACTGCCAGGGGGGACCTGACACAGTTTTCCCACTGACAAGTAGGATAGCATTTCCCATCGAAGCCCAGAGGAAACGGGGGTGGCAGTGGACTGGATAGGGTTGCGAAGATGAGGCTGGGCTCCAATCCTCATGAAAAGCTTTCCTATGTAAGCATTTGCCGTTATCCCCAGTTAATGCCTGGCCTGTCCTTCTGCTTTGTAGTGGATTTACCCACGTGAAAAGTGACAGCATGAGCATTGCTGGGATTGAAGCCAGAAGCAATGGAACAAGTATCCTGAGGTCATACTGCTTCAAAGTTCAGCTGAGCTAGACTCTGCCCATTGAAGATGCTCTTACTTTGTGTGCATGCAAACTCCTGACCAAAGATGTTGTCAACTTTGGGAAATGAGCTGGTAGGATGACTACTGTATGAGCATAATGGGCCGGGGAAGTATTTGCTATTGTCTTGTGTTTTGTTGTGTTACTCAGAAAAACAAAGGAGAGTAAGTAGCCATCTTCAGCTGGTCTTCAAGGAGCTAAGCAATGGGCCTAAGGCTTCTCAGATTGCTGGACACAGACGGAGGGGACTGTGGTAGTGCTAAGAGAACCTGCTTGCTTACAGTGTCCAAACTGCACCAGAGTTGCTCTTGTTATCCAGGCTGTAATTAAAATATGCTTATCTGCCTGTGCTGTGTTATATACTGGAGACACACATTCACACATCAACTTTGCTGTTGTTGAGATGAATTCTGTGAGACCCTCTCAAAAAAACGCAAGGGTACCAACAAAACAGAATAAAGATCAGAGCTTTTAGAGCTGGTCAGCATGGGAGCCCAGGCTGGGTTAGTGAATTGAGAGCCGTATGTGCTCACAGTCACCCATCAAAACCAAAAATGGAACTTGGTGGGAGTCAAGAGAGCATCTCACTTTGAAAGCCAAGGCTGGAGAACCAGCATGGAGCAAGGTAGAGAGGCCGTAGGAGGCAGCCAGACCTGCTCGGTTCTGGCTCTCTGCGCCCTTAGTGTTTCCCTCAGGTCTGTCCTCTGCTACCACTGAACAGGGACCAGTGCCTCCATGGAAAACACTCCCCAGCTGCTCCTGAGGGGAATTCAGAGTGTTGCGTGTGTGTGTACATGTATGTCCATGCTTCTGTGATACGCTGTCCTGGGGTCACAGGTCCACATAAAAAGTAGAAGCCTGATTTCTTTCAGCTGCAAGAGGTACCTCCACTAAGACGCTTAATGGGGATTTTTCCTATGTTTGAGGAGTAAAGACAGGAGTTGTAGACTGCTTTGCCTCATATCTGAATGCAGCCTTAAGTGACAATGTCTAGATACTGTGGGCGACCATGGCCATGTAGGACACAGGTGATAATGCCATAAGAGTGCCTGCCCTTCCATGCTGAGCTGACCTGCCCTTTGCTGTCCCTAATATATCTAGCTCTGCCCCTCACTGGATGCTGCAGCAAGAGAGCTGGCTCCCCTGCACTTAGGAGAAAAGGCCCCACCCCTCACCATGGGCAGGGACGAGCTGATCCTGATGGCATGGGCATAGGGGAACCCCTTGCCTGAGGGGAACAGCCCCAGTGGCCTGGACTAGCCAGCTCAACTTCCACCCAGGTCCACAGCCATTCCTAGGTTGGCCCACCCTAACACCTACCCCATCTAGGACCTGCTGGAGCTTGTGAAGGGGCTGGTCCTGTGGAATAATAACCACAGAATCTCCATGACTGAGGGTGGCTGCAAGACCAGTGACTCATTGCAATGAACATTTGCAAGCAAAGCAATGATTGGACAAAAGGGTATACTGTATGACACACCTTGGCTCCCAATGCCACTAGGAAGAATGAAAAGATTTGTAGAGGGGGAGAAAGATGGAGGAGCAAAGAGATTTTTGTTATTGTTGTTGTTGCTGTAGTTGTTTTTGATTTTTGTTTTTCTCTTTGTTTTGGTTTGATTTTTTTTTATTTTCATTTGGGGGAACCACTGCAGGGTGGGGTAAGGATATGAAGGGACTGGGAGGTGAGTGGTATTGGAGTGCATGATGTGAAATTCCCAAATATTCAATAAAGAAATTATGTTAAACCAAAAAAAAAAAGAAAGAAAGAAAAAGTGCCTGTCCTTGAAGCTGTCAGTGGAGGAGTCCTTGCCTAGTGCCACTACAGGACCACATGGTGTCCAAGGCTCATGGCTTGATGATGAGGATAAGCAGGACTGAGCCATCCCTGGATGGCAGTGGGGAAGGGGATGGGGACAAAAGAGAAACAAACCAGCAGATACACATCCCACAGCCCAGCAAGCAAGAAGATCGTGTGCCGAAGATGATGGCAAGGTTCAGCTCAGCCAAGATGCTGGCATTTTCTGATGGAGACCTCGTGGGCATGTTCCATTGACAGGTCCTCTTAAGGGCAGCATCTTCAGGACACAGAAGTTCTGTTACATTCCTTCTTTGGGAAAGTAGTTAGCTCTGATGTCGTTAGACCCGGCATGTCTCAGCCTTAACCCATGAGGTTCGGCCTGAGTGGGGGTGTGTGGACCTGGAAACTCCTAGCAACCCAGCAGCGATAAAGACCAAACACAGGCATCTTGTCATGTTTAGAGAGCTCTCAGCTCCATGTTGTAAAACTAGAGTCTTTTCTTTATTTGCCATCTTTTCGGCTGTTTCTTAACCATCCTCCCATGACCAAATATATTGTGTTGACTATGCAAAACCATGGGAGGCTTATGTGCTCCCCACAAAGCATAGTCCGACTTCTGTTCTATGGCAGAAAGAACCACTATTATGGTTACATCAACCATCTCGCCAGCCTAAGTATTAAACACTTATTTTAAAGCAGTAGCCTACATGGTACAGAAATGCCATGTGGATTCTAGGAGGTATTTTAGGAGAGAACCAAGAAGAGAGAGAACCATGTATGTCCCTTATACTAAGCAACATTTTAATTGGTTGTTTCAGAACAATGATTCATGGGAGATTGCCTATGCTCAGTTTTCAGGAAAAATTAATAATTGGTTTGCAGCTTATAGGCTGTTACTATTTACTCTGATACATTCATCCCTATGTTTTGCTTTCTCTGTCGGAATAACATATTATTAACTGAAGTTCCTGTAAGGTAGCCACCATCCCTCATCCCTGAGTGTAAGCTAGGTCCATATCTGAAAAAATTTTAATGAACTCGCCTACGTCAGTCCTCTTCCTGTGAGGCCTTAGTGTGGCCTGGCATGCAGTACCAGCATTCTCATAAGCTAGCTGTTTCACAATCAAAGTTCCAATACCTGTCTCTCTAACATTTTGTATAATGGCCACACAGGCCTAGAAACCAATTCTGAACTAACTCCCTAGGTCCCTGCCTGCTCGCTATAACAAATATCCTCCTCCTGACTGGCAGGCTGTGGTTACCTGCTTTCAATTTCCTAGGGGTGAGGCTTCTACAGCAATATTCCCTATCAGCCTCTGGGTAAAAATTGCTGTTGGTCCATACTGGACACAAGCCATTTTTAGTTCCTTGAGCTGTTTGAATGGTATTGGCACATAGTATGTTCCCCTGAGCCTGTCTCTCTCTGATCCGAGGAAACCTGTAAATTTCCATCTCCTGCGAGAGAGATTTAGCTAAATCTTTCAAGTCTCTTAGCTCCTGTTGAATTTTACCATTGAGTATTTGCCTTTCTGTATTCCCAGTTAAAATGAAGGAAGGAGGTGAAGGCTCCCTCCATCTTGGTACTTACTAACTCTCTCTCCCTGCTCATCTCAATCATTGGTCCTGTATATTCTTTACCATCCGTCCACCCTTAAGTAGGCTCGGAGTTTTCTGTTCTCCATTACATTCCTAGACATCTCCCGAGGGCCTGCGTGTATGCGAGGCCGCACCTATGTCTTCCTAAGCCCCTGAGCAACTCAAAACGCTGCATCATGGCGGTGGCTTTTGTAAGCGGGAAGGATCCTTTTAAAACTCTTAAAACTCTAAAATCTCCTGTACTTGCTTTCACTTTGTTTTAGCTCTCCTGGCTATTAAACTATACCCAAGTAAATAAATATACAATCATCTGAGTAATAATTACCTGCCTAATTTCTCTAACTATATACATTTTTACTGTCAAGGCTAACTTACTTCTCTTTACCATCTGGCTAATGTTCCTGTTTCATATTTACAGTTACCTGCATTTTTCACTCCGGAGTTTAACACATTACATTTTACCATTTTATCACCTGACTGACATTTCAGTCTCACATCTACGTTGTGCACCTTCTCTTACTTTAAGGGTTAAATAACCCACTTTATCTTTTTTCATCAGCTGCTGGCTGACGTCTTCCTATTTTATATTACATATGTGTTTCCTATTTCTACAATTATATACAGTTTTATTCCTGACTTAACACTGTTCACTCACCACATCCAGCTACTTCTTTCTTCTTTTTTCTGCGAGTGCTTCTTCTCCCACCGGACTGACCGTGATGACTATCTCTTCAAAGTGTCTATGCCTCTTGCCTTGCCCATGGCTTCTCTGGTGCCCTTTTCTTCGTGGTGTCCATGGCTTCTTCCCCCGTTCTCAGGCCCCACGTTCGGGCGCCATTTTGTCAAGACCCGGCTTGTCTCAGCCTTAACCCATGAGGTTCGGCCTGAGTGGGGGTGTGTGGACCTGGAAACTCCTAGCAACCCAGCAGCGATAAAGACCAAACACAGGCATCTTGTCATGTTTAGAGAGCTCTCAGCTCCATGTTGTAAAACTAGAGTCATTTCTTTATTTGCCATCTTTTCGGCTGTTTCTTAACCGTCCTCCCATGACCGCGAGGAAACCATTTCTCTCTCCTTCTCCTCTCCTCTCTGGTAGCCTGCCCCTCACCCCGTCCTCACTTGTTACTCACACACCTCACCCCTCTGCCCAGGTGCAGGCCTATTCAGATGCTTAGTCCCATAGAGATGCAAACTAGGAGGCATCCTATACTGAGGCTATGGTAAACAATAGTAGACTTTCTGGAATTAGCAATACAATAGTGGGCTGGAGCTTTGAGGTGCTCCTGTTTAGTGAAACCTAAGGCTAGACCTCAAAATATTTTATAACAGAATTATTTGGTCCCCCACACTCTGGCATTAAGGTGATGGAAGGATGAGCAGTAGGAATCCTGCTCTGGACCTGAGAGCCAGCTTGGTAAGGGAAGTTTTAGTGAAAACAGGAAGCTTGGGTGCGGTGTCCTATAAAATATGCTGCACTCTTGAGTCCTCCAGTTCCAAGTTCTGACATTTCTTCCTATGGCCATCAAAGGGCACAAGTGCAACTTCAGACAAACATGTAAAGCTGTGTGAGCCTTCTTTCTGCAAATCAAGGAGTCAAGCCTGGTAGGACAGGCTTATGACTTCTGCCACTCTGCAAGTTCAGTCTAGTCTACCAAGTGAATTTAAGGACAGCCTGAGCAACTTAGACTGTCTCAAACCAAAAAGTAAAATGAGGGCTGGAGGCTGGAGATGGGTGTCATTGGGTGCTACAGGGCTCTTGCCTAATATGTGAGGCCCTGGGTTCAGGCCCTGGTACTATAAAAATAATGAAAGAACTATATAATCCTAAGTATTACCTGAAGGTGATAATATACACAGGATTTTTCAAAAATAGAAAGTTATAAAGATGTTGAACTCTTCTGTGTTTTAGAAACCTAAGCAAATCATTAGAATTACTAAGCCAAACTCTGCAACCCTGGCAGAAGCAAGCCACATATGGAAGTCAGTTTACCAGCGACTAGACAAGATGAAAGGTCTCCTATTCACATTGATATTCCATGTTCCCAGGTAGAATACTGAGTGAAGATTCGTCAAGACACTCTTGTAGAATCAAGAGTTAGAGGATGGAATAGAGCTGCCCTGTGAGTTATAAAGGAGAAGTCATCTTGGGTAATAAAGATTGGTATCAATGCTTGCAGCAGGATAGAAGGTCAAGAGAAAGCATGGAGTCTTAGATGCACTGCAGGTGAGGTCAGGTGGTATATGGGGAACAAAGCTGAGGAGGCCTTTTCCCAGTGAGTGAGGACAGGCCTCCCACACACCATCTCATTGTCATCTCTCAAATGGAGAAAGACAAAAGTAAAGTTACAAATTATAGCAGGGGCTTCAAAGCGGGGCTACAGATAACCCATAACAAAATCCCTAATTCATGCCCCCTATCTTTTTAACTTATAAAGGAAGCACACTTTTATTTACTGGGTATCATGACATCAGAAGACTTATTTATACATAGTGTGTTTTCCATAAGAATGCATGCTTTTAGAGCTATTATGAAATGAACAAGAAACTTGTGGGGACAAGAATTTCTAATTGCTCACATGAACAACAAACTGGAAAACAAGAGCCAGATCAGATTGCTGATTTTCAATAATAAGTGACACAGAGTGAAGTAGTGTGGAGCAAAGTGTGACATCGCCCCACCCTGAGCTACTGTTTCCCTACCAAAGTGCTGCTAGCTAGAAATGCCCTCCCTTTAAACTCTGAAGACCAATCAACACAAGCAACTGGTTAAGCAAAGAAAAACTTGAATTCCCAAGTGTTTGAATTCCATCTTGTTTTTATTTGAATTAGAAACAAGATTGTTTTACATGTCAATCCCAGTTCCTTCTCCCTCCCCTCCTCCCCTACCACCCCTCCAGCTAAAACCCTACCTATCACATATCCTTTCTGCTCCCCAGGGAAGGTGAGGCCTTCCATAGGGGGTCATCAGAGTCTATCATATCCTTTGGGATAGGGCCTAGGCCCAACCCCATGTGTCTTGGCTCAGGCAGTATCCCTCTATGTGGATTGGGCTCCCAAAGTCCACACCTATGCTAGGGATAAGTACTGAATTACTACAGGAGGTCCCGTAGATTTCCAAGGTCTCCCACTGAAACCCACATTCCTGGGGTCTCGATGAGTCCCATGCTGGTATCCCAGCTATCAGTCTGGGGACCAAGAGCTTCCCATTGTTCAGGTCAGCTGTTTCTGTGGTTTTCACAAGCCTGGTCTGGACCCCTTTGGCCATCACTGGTTCTTCTCTGCAACTGGATTCCAGTTCAGTTCAGTGATTAGTTGTGGGTGTCTGCTTCTACTCCCACCAGCTGCTGGATGAAGGCTATAGGATGGCATATAAGTCAGTCATCAATCTCATTATCAGGGGAGGGCATTTAAGGTAGCCTCTCCTCTATGGATTAGATTATTAGTTGGTGTCATCTTTGTAGATCTCCAGACCTTTCCCTAGTGCCTGATTTCTCTGTAAACCTAAAATGTCTCCCTCTATTATGCTATCTCC